TCTGAGTAACTCCCATAGCCCTGACCCTGGGGGTGGGGGTGGGAGGCCGTGCTGGGGGTGGGATGGAGAATATGGAGGACACTGTGAGTGGGAGGAGGTGGGTCTGGGGATTCCAGCCCCCACCAGGGTCTGCATTGGCATGGGTACGGATTGACAGTTTCCCGGCCAGGTCCCAGCCTTTTCCTCCAAGACCCTGTCCCGCAGCCTCAGTTGGGGCCACCTGCCTAATCCGTCCCCTGTCCCCTGAAGAATAAGGCTGATTCTTCAGCCTTGGAATCGAACAGCTGGGGGCCCAATGTAATTCCTGGGCTTCTCTACCAGAAGATGAGGCTGGCTCAGAGCAGGCCTCGATAAACGCAGGCCGAGTGAGGGAGTCTGTGGACAGTGTTTCTAACTCATTCTAGATGCGTCTGTAACAAGCCATGTTACCCTGGGAGCTGCATCTTCCCACATCACCGCAATGGCGACGGCTGAGCCACCGTCCCCACCAGTCATCGACCTGTGACCAGAGAGCCAGACTAAGCCAGGAGAAACACACAGATGCTGGTCACACGTTATTTATACATCTGTCAGTTGCTGGGAAGAATGAGAGGGAGAAAAAAAGAAGAAAAGGAGACGAAGAATGAATAGCAAACACATCTGTTTGATTTAATCCAATCAAGTGGATTGGGTTAAATCCGATCAAGGACACGCAGAGAATCAGGTTTGTAGAAGTTGGGTCCAGAGGTCATGGGTCGAGGGACCGGCCCAAGTGGAGGGCTGAAGCTATCCAAAAGCTCACTGAGGCACCCACCCGCAGCACATGAGAATCTCTTCTATTTCAGCAGCACAATAGAAAAGCTGACCTCATCTCAATGCGTTAGGACAGACCCTCCAGTCTCCTGGGGATAATCCACATTATCTGCTACGGGACAATCCTTTTCTCCTTGGTAAGTGGCTTTGAAGCCCCAGAAGATTCAAATTTTAAAAATAAAGGGGTGCCTGGGTGGCTCAGTTGGTTAAGCATCCGACTTTAGCTCAAGTCATGATCTCACGGTTCGTGGGTTTGAGCCCTGTGTTGGGCTCTGTGCTGCCAGCTCAGAGCCTGGAGCCTGTCTTCGGATTCTGTGTCTCCCTCTCTCTCTGACCCTCCCCTGCTCATGCTGTCTGTCTCTCTCTCAAAAAATAAATAAATAAATAAACAAACAAACAAATAAATAAACAAAACATTTTTAAAATTAAAAAAAAAAATAATAAAGATGATGGAAAGAAATGGAAGCCCAGAGTAATTACACATTTATGTTAAGTTTCGGTTAGATTGATTCCTGCGTGTTGCTGCACAAAGTCCCGTTATCTGTGATATTTAGGAACGCGTGGCCCCTAGCATTTCTCGGGTATGTGACCGAGTAATTGACTTCAGCTGAAATTTTAAGCTAAAAAATTGAAGAGAATTTGGTGATGTCTGTAAACATTATGAGCGTATTTTCAGAGAACTTAATACCCACTTTGGTTAAAAGCTAGTGTTTTAGATCTGTAAATAAGTATTCTCTGAAATCCTTGGACAAGTTGGGTTCCTTAGGGGTGTTTGAAGCATTTATACGAGAATTGAGTTCATTAAACGTGCAAATGCAGCTTAGATCAGGCAAGGCAGTGCTATAAACTGCCGATATATCCGATATACACATCATGCAAGCTACATATGTCATTTAAAGTCCTCGTAGCCACATCTTTTAAGAGTTAAGAAGGAACAGATCAACTTAATTGTAATAATAAAATTTATTTAACCTAACATAGCCAGAAAATTCTCATTCAACGCACAATTCGTACAAAAGTTATTCAGGAGATATTTTATGTTCTTTTTTGAACATGTCTTCAAAACCCGCTGTGATGTTGCCCTTCCAACCTTCTCAACTCAGCCTACTATGATTCAAATGCATCTTCTGCAGACCGCGGTTTTGGACATTACAGGTCAAAGGGAATTTAATTAGCTACCTTTGTGAGTGCTATTTATTATTTAAGGTGCTTACTCCTTTCAACCCGATTTGATGAAATATTCATCAAAGCCTCCCTGAGAGTCCTTGTCGAAGATTACTGGACTTACAAATAAAAGGATTTTTGTATATTGAATTTACAAGTGAAGGGAAAAAATTGATTTTAAAAAATGTGTTCATTTACTAAACTTTTTTTTTTTTTCTTACAAAGTAACCACAAGCAGCCTTTTTATGCACAACAAAAGGCCTCAAGTACCTCACTCACCACCGTCCAGACAGAATTAGAGTTACCGGCCTGGGCACGGGGAGAGGCCTGATCCCATGTTACAGCTCCGCATGCAGAATGTCAGGTCTGACCGAGCCCTTAGGGATTCTCCGCCCAAAGCACCCCATTTCCCTGGTGAAGAAACCCACGTCCAGATCAGAGAAGAACACAGGGTGAATCGGAGACAGGGCCCAGGCAATTCCCTGGTCTCCCGACCCCACCCAATCTTCCCCAATAAAAACGCTTCAAGTCCATTCTTTCTCTTTTTGTCTCCAGTTGACTGATTGGGAAACTGAGGCACAAAACTTCAGGGTAGGTGCACACCCTGGTCCTGGACCCAGCCTCCGGAGAGCACCAGCAGATCCTGCCCTGATCATTGAACAGCACCCACCCAGACCTGAGGGGAGTAAGGCCCAGAACCCAGGCCGGCCTGGCCAGAGAAATGGCTGTGCGAGGCCCAGGATGGAGCCTGGGTCCGAGATTGCCGAGGGGAGCAGGACACGGAAGAGCCATGGCTGGGTCAGCCGGGGGGCCTGGAGGGCCAGGCTCCAGCCGCCGCCGCCCCAGGCGCAGCCTGCTAACCCCTCCGGGCCTCCAAGCAGCCACCGGAGTGAAGGCCTTGGCACACCCTCTGGGGCCTCATTCTCCCTGGATCCTTTCCTCCCCCTTCTCTGTTGTTTTCCTATCTTTCTTTTTCTTTCTCTCTTTGGAGGCCCTCATTTCCTTTTACCAAAGCTGACCCGGCCCACACACTGATTTCGCCAAGGAGAACCCCACAGGCGGATCTGGGATCCATCTTGCCCTCCTCTGCTGGGGTTTGGGCCTACTGGACCTGAGTGGGGGGGTAAAGAACTTTCTAGAAGGCCCGGGGAGTGCCCTCCCTACATCAGCTTGCTCTGGCCTTCCCTACTCTGGGGACACCGTTTCCCTCTGCCTGCCATGGCCTTCCCGCCAGGCGATATTTCTCAGCAGTAGGACATACACCTCTGGGGACCCTTAGGAGGCTTCAAGGAAGCAGCATTTAGTGCCATTAACTCGCACGGCAGGGAAGCTACTCCCTGCTCCGAGTGCTATCGGTCCCCCTGAAAAATCAAGAAGAAAAGAACAATTTGGAGCCAGGGTATCTTCCTCACCGCCCCTATCTCCCCTTTAACGGAGGAGGCAGGTATCGGCTTCAAGGTCAAGGACCTTTGCTTTCTTTTAGCCTTTTGCTAGTACATAACAGAAATTGGTTTCCACCCCCATTTATTTTTATGCTTACCTTCATCTTTTATTTATGGCACATGATGTCAGTTTTCCACTTACAATAGTGACATAAAGTTTCCTTTCAAGACTAAACTCGTATTAGCAACAAGCGAGTCCATTGACTATAAATGTGGTTTCAGAAACATGAAGGAAACATCTGTACTGGGAGTGTGAGCCTGGCAGGGGTGTCAGGAGGGGATGGAAAGGACTGGGGTGCAGCGACCTTGGCCCCAAGAGCACCTCCTTTTCACCCTCCTGAGCTCTTCCCGGAACCTGGGGTCCCCCTGTTTTCAGGCGCCACTCAAGGCCAGCAGCCCGCTCCGTCCCAGACTTCATTCTGAGCCGAGGCCGGTGGCTGGGCCTCATGGAAAAGGATGGAGGGTGGTGGCGATGGAGACGGGGAAGGAGGGGCCCCTGGTCTGACCGTCTGTCTGTCTTAGCTCAGGAGGCAGAAGGCGGCTGAGCTCCGGGTGCTCCTGATGGAGCGAGAGAGGCCAAGCTGCCCCACACGGAGCTGCAGGTGCACACATTCCAGCTACGTGGCTCTCCCCGCCCCGGGGTGAGTCAGGAGGCAGAACCTCTAGATAGAGGCAGAGAGAAGAGCTGTTCCCCTCCCCAAATAACTCCCCACTTCGCTCGGCTCTCCTAGTCGGCTAGGCTGGCCCTCCTGACGGGGCCTCTCTGGGTCTCCTTCTGAAAGCAAAGTGAAAGCTCTGGTGTCTCCACTGTCAAGTGGACCCAGACTCCCCGGCCCAGAATTCTGTTTCCACGAGTCTCCCCATGCCCAGAGGATTCCACCCGGAGCAGGATCTGTCACACCCACCTGGGCCCCCACCCAGTTCCTGCCGGCTTGGACCCCGCACTTAGCACAGCCAGCCGACGAACACAGCCAGCCTCCAAACCTGATGCCCCGGCCCAGGTCGCAAAGCACCTTGGTGCCCAGGGGCACCTCGGGATGGGGGAGGAGGGGGCCCTCAGGAGCTTTCCTATTCACCTGTGCCTGAAGCTACCCCTTACTGGCTGCACTCGAGTCACCAGCCACCGGCTGTCCTCAATTCCCACAGGCTTCCCCGAGTCCTGTCTCTGGACTGTTCCGCCGTGAGTGGTACAAGCCTGGTGAGTCCAGAGCCTCAGCTCACAATAATGATGACAATAATGCGCAGTGGTCTACCTTTCTGGAAGGCAGACGGCTCCTTCCAGAGAGCTGCCGAGAAATAGGGATGGGGGAGTTCTCAAACTTAGGGTGGCGGGCGTCTCCCGCCTCAGAGCCCGGAAGCCTGCTCACAGGACACCATGTGTGCATGCGGAGTCTTCTAGTACTGTCCGAGCACAGCACAGCCTGCCCCCCTGGGGGGGTCCTGGACCCTCTCAGGTCCCGTAGCCATGGCTGGGGCCTCCCTGGTACAGTCTTGGCTAAAAGGCTCTAGAAAGGTGAGAAAATGACCAGAAAGGGGGCCAAGCAAGAGGCCAGGACCCAGGTCCGCCAGCATGAGCAGCAGGAGGTGGGAAAGAGACCCTACCTGAGACGGCCGCCGTCAGCAATCCAAGGATGGCAGAGAAGAGCCACATGTCTGGCGCCATCTCTGACTGCTATGCGCGTGTGCCAACGAGAAGCGCCATCCCAGGGCGATGAGGTAGAGGTGGCTGCTGTGCGCTCCTCACACCCGCGCTCGGACCTTGGCTGCTCCCGTTTCTAACTTTCTCTCTGCAGGAGGGAGCACTCCTTTGCACGCATGTGACCAAGCCAGCCTGTGAGTGTGACTCTCACGCCTCTGTGCTCGCTACTTGTGGTTTTGGTCTCCAGGAAGCCGGGCTGGTGTCACAGGGGCTGAGGGGGAGAGCCCAGCTGCCTGCGAGCCCACCTAGCCCTGCTGAACCCCAGAAGTCATAGCGTGGGACACACACACACACACACACACACACACACACTTCCTCCAAGTGTCTCCCAAAGAAAGGGGAAGTGGGAACAAGCTTCCTTTCTGGAGACCTGAGACATAGTAGATGATCAATCAATACATGTGGGAAGAGTGAAAGCATGACCCACCTCCGGTCCCCTAGTCCATGGGACCCAGCTCCTCCAGGATAAAATCCTGACGTTTACCTTGTCCTTGGGTGTTTGTGGCTGGTTGGGAAGAGGGTGTGGTCCTGCACTTTTGAGAGGAGGAAGCCCCCGATTCCCTTCGGCAAATTGTCAATGGAGAAGGGTCTGAGGGACGGTGTGTCCCTCATGTCCTCCCAGGCTGGAGCTGTCCCCCGAGGCGGCACAGGAGGCCCCAGTGACCCCCACCTGCGGGCACGGGGCTGGGTGCTCATTCCTCAGTGGGAGTCAGGCAGGAGCTGGCCCAGGAGGAATGAGCAGGATTTCACCAGGCAGAGATGGCGGAAGGCGCCTGGAACGGCAAGAAGGAAAGCAGGAGCAAAGGCCGGGGCTGCTGGGAAGTACTGAGTTGTTCAGCGGGTCTGTGGTGAAGCCATAGGCCGGATGCAGGGACCTAGTGTGTTTAATCCACCACTGCCTTCCCTGCGGGGCATACTGTAGGTGCCGAATAAATGTTGAGTGAAAGAAGGTCATTTAATTTGGTTATATAAGCAGAACCCTTGAAGAAGTGGACTCCAGAGGAGACTGGTTGTGTCCTGGCCCTTCCCCACATGACCTCATCTCAGATTTATCTGGCCTGGCCTGACTCTTCCGCCCTCCCTGCCTGACTTCATCTTCTGGTCTATGGAATGTGGACGATTCTTCCACTGCGTCCCCGTCCGCGGGGGTGTCTGATGTTGCAGGTATGGGAGTAACAGGGAGCCAGGCCCCTCCACTGTAAGCCCTGCCCAGACCTGCGGGGTGGACGGGGCTCTGGCACCAGCTGAGGCTGCCCTCTTGTGGAGGGTCCCTGGTAGCACAGGCAGGGCATGGGGGGCCTTTACCTCCTGGGTTCACTTTCCTTTAACGGACATTTAGGGAGATAGAAGAGGCTAGACTTCCATTTCTCACAATACGGTAAGTAGCATGTGCTGAAAGTTCTCCTGGTACAAGAACCACTTCTAAACATCTTGAGAAATGCAAAGGGGAGGTGGCGAGAAGGTAAGGATCACCATCAGAGGCCAACGGAACAAGAAAGCACAAATCCAAAGGCATGACTGACAGCAGGAGCAGAGGGTGCTCTGAGGTACCTGCTGATCCCAGGTGGCCAAGAACTTGAGTTTAAGGGGACAAATCCTAGGGCCTGAGCAAATGAAAAGCAAAACCAGAAACCTTCTACCTAAAGCCAAACAATGAAAAACAACACCCAACTGTGGAGGAACCAGGAAAGAAAACCCTTGCAAAGGGCTCTGATGTAGGATGTGCTTGGCTCAGCACTGACTTCTGAGTGGAAGAAAAAGAAATACTAACCCTGAATGCTCCTAACCACAGGGCCACCTGCAATGGGGTCTGAGAGGGAAGGGAAGGGAAGGGAAGGGAAGGGAAGGGAAGGGAAGGGAAGGGAAAGGAAGAGAAGAGAAGAGAAGAGAAGAGAAGAGAAGAGAAGAGAAGAGAAGAGAAGAGAAGAGAAGAAAAAGAAGAAAAGAAAAGAAAAGGAAAGGANAGAAGAGAAGAGAAGAGAAGAGAAGAGAAGAGAAGAGAAGAGAAGAGAAGAGAAGAGAAGAGAAGAAAAAGAAGAAAAGAAAAGAAAAGGAAAGGAAAGAAAAGGAAAGGAAAAAAGAAAAGAAAGGAAAAGAAAAGAAGTCATAAAACGTAGGACACAAGTGTATTAGTCATGGTTCCCCAGAATTAATGGAATTTGTAAGAAATTTATTGTCAGGAATTGTCTCAAGTGATTTTGGAAATTAAGTCCCAAGATCTCAGCCAGAAAACTGGAAACTCTGGAGAGCTGGTGGTACCATTCCAGGCCAAGTCCAAAGGCCCGAGACCCAGGAGAGCCAGTGGTGTGAGTTCCAGTTGAAGCCTGAGCTGAAAGGCAGGGGAACACTGGCATCCTAATCTGAAGACAGGCAGAGAGAGACAGTTCTCTCTTATTCCTTCCTGTTCTATTCAGGCCTTCTGTGAACAAAGCCCATCCACTGTGGGGGAGGGGGGCAATCTGCTTTACTCGGTCTACTGATTTAAATGCCAATCTCACCTAGAAACACCCTCACGAACACGCCCCGAATAATGTTCAGCCAGAGATCTGGGCGCCCTATGGATCAGTCAAATTGACACCTGAAAGTTACCATTACAATAAAGCCTTTTAAGTGAGAATTGCACAAAGCAGGAAGCAGTAGACTCACACCTTTAACACTTAAGCTACTAGAATGATGGTATACATAATATCAAATAGGAATGTTTCATATACTTAAAGAAAAATAAAATTGATAATCGAGGCGACAGAGAAGGAACAAGAGACTATGGATAAGGCACTAAGTGACCAGGAAGATTTGAGGGGGAAAAAAGACTTCTCTAAATGAAAAATTTAGTCTTCAAAACTAGCAATGCAATGGACAGATTAACTAGCAGATTAACATAGCAGAAGGGAGAATGAGTGAGTTAGACAGTAGACCTAAAGAACTTACCAAGAATGCCTCCCAGAGAGACAAAGGAAATTATGAAACACGAGTTAAGAACACAGGGGTGCCTTGGTGGCTCTGTTGAGCATCCGACTTTGGCTCAAGTCATTACCTTGTGGCTCATGAGTTCAAGCCCCACATCAGACTCTGTGGTGACAGCTTGGAGCCTGGAGCTGCTTCAGATTCTGTGTCTCCCTCTCTCTCTGCTCCTCCTCCACTCATGCTCTAGCTCTCTCTCTCTCTCTCTCAAAAATACATAAATCTTAAAAAAAATTTTAAAGGAAGTTACCACAGAGGATGGAACAAGGTGAATGGCTCGAATTCAGAACTGATGAAATACGTAGCCCTCCGATTCCAGAAGCTCCCACAACCTCCGTCTGTTAAATCAAAATAAATCTATCTCAACAAAACTGGGAGGAAAAATAATTTTAAAAGAATAAAAAAGTTTTCATACACACATCAATCAATCAATCTACACCAATTACTTATGGTAACAAAATTGCTAATTGCTAGAAAGAGAGACTATAAAGTAGACTTATGGCTAACTTTTTCTTGGTAGCAATGGAAGCCAGTAGACAATGGAATAACGTCTGGAAGTGCTAAGAAAACAGCAGTTGACTGAATGTTTCAAGAAAGAGATTGTAGCTCATATATCTATCTGATGAGGGGTTAATATCCAAAATATGTAAAGAACTCATACAACCCAATATAAAAAAAAATCTGATTAAAAAATGGGCAGAGGATGTGAATAGGCATTTTTCCAAAGAAGGCATTCGAATGAATAACAGGCACATGAAAAGATGCCCAACATTACCAGTCATCAGGGAAATGCAAATTAAAATCACAATGGGATAGGGGCGCCTGGGCAGCTAAGTTGGTTAAGCATCCGACTTCAGCTCAGGTTATGATCTCACAGTTTGTGAGTTTGAGCCTCGCATCAGGCTCTTGGCTGTCAGAGTGGAGCCTGCTTCAGACCCCCAGTCTCACCTACTCTCTCTGTCCCTCCCCCACTTGCCCCCTTCTCAAAAATAAAAAATAAAACTTAAAATAAAAATAAATAAATAATAAAATCAAAATAAGATATCACCTCACACCTTTCTGAATGGCTAGTAGCAAAAGAACAAAATATAACAAGTGTTAGCAAGGATGTAGAGAAAAGGGAATCTTCAGACTCTGTTGGTGGGAATGTAAATTGTTTCAGCCGCTGTGGAAAACAGGATGGGGTTTCCTCAAGTAATTAAAAATAGAAATGCCATATGATCCAGCAATTCCACTTTTGGGTATTTATTTATCCAAAGAAAATGCAAACCCTAACTCGAAAAGATGCGTGTAGCCCCGTATTCTTTATGGCATTGTTTACAAAAGCCAAGATACAGAAACAACGTAAATATCCATCTGTGGGCAAATGGCTAAAGAAATTGTGGTATATATGTGCAATGGAATATTACTCAACCCTCAAAAAGAATGAGATCTTGCCATTTGCAACAACACGGATGAAACTTGAGGGCGTTATGCGAAGTGGAATAAGTCAGACAGAGAAAGACAGATACCGTATGATCTCACTTATTTGCGGAATCCAAACACCAAACCAAACTAACAAAACAAAACTCATGGATATGGGGAACAGAGTGGTGGTTGCTGGGGGGTGGAGTTGGGGGTGGGCAAATGCACGAAGGGGTCGGGAGATAGAGACTCCAGTTGTGAGATGAACGGGTCATCAGGATGTGGTGTGCAGACCACAGTGTGGTGTTGGGTTGCAGGCTTGAAGATTGCTAGGAGGGTGTATCTTGGACGCTCTCATTTCAAGGAAAATAAAAGCTTCTTTTGTAGCTTGTGATCATAGCAGATTGTGATGAAGCTCATTGTGGTGATCATTTTGCAGTGTATACAAGCATCAGGTCCTTACCTTGTACACCTGAAACTAATATGATATATGTCTATTATGCCTCAATTAAAAAAAAAAAAAAACAACAGAATGGCTTTGTTACAGACTCAAAAAAAAAAAAAAAGAATGAGGCTGAACAGAATCATTTTCAGATAAACATTGAGAGCATTTACGACTAACAAATCCCCACCTAAGGAAATTTTAAAGGACCATCTTCAAGAACAAGGAAAATAGTCTGAGGGGCACCTGGGTGGCTTAGTCTGTTAAGCTTCCAAATTTGCCTCAGGTCACGATCTCACAGTTTATGAGTTTGAGCCCCCATAGGGCTCTGTGCTGA